GCGACATATGTCGGCTAGGACAAGTCATGAAGTCATGAAAGCGGCATGATAAAATGATTACAATGCAATCAGTGACAAGTTATCAGAACATGCATGCACACATTTGGGGAGGGCACCTGACTTGCGATACATAGCTACGCTAATGTAAACGCCAACTTATCTTCATAAATTATTGATTTGTGCTCAAATAAACAATGGATTGTACTGTTCTTCTCTGCATATCAAAAGCCCCTGTTCAAATTATCGTAGTCTTGAAAAACAGGTCTATGAAACCTTTAAATTACACACGGTCTAACCTGTGAACTCAATATTTGCACAACTTATAGGTGTGTTTACCAGTTACCAATATGCAACCAAGTGTGTAAACAAGACAACAACATGACGATACCATGTTCAAACAAGTTCAAAAAGAATCGTAGATGATGGCTAAACGTGTGAACATGTAATACCCGTAAACTCACGCTGAGAATTAGCATTCAGTTGATTCCGGGCCATTTGATTCAGTGCAGCCAGGTTGGCAGCATTCAGTGTCAAAGGCATCTGCTGTTGTTGTTGTTGTTGCTGTTGTTGTTGCTGTTGTTGTTGTTGCTGCTGTTGTTGTTGCTGCTGTTGCTGCTGTTGTTGTTGTTGTTTCTGTTGAGCTTGAGCCTAAAAAATGTCCAATGTAATATTTAATTTTCTTCGTTCTTTGAGAAAGTCATTTTTTAAAAATTTCCATACAATGAACTGATCACTACATAATTAAGAAGTATCGTTAAACAATTTGATTATTAAAATTTTGTATACTATGGAGAGCATATTAGTGTTCGTTGCGTGGTCTCCGAAAAAGTTTAAAAATAAATTCTGGATTTTTCCTTTTCTATTGGTGAATTTTATTAGGGATAACATAGACTTTGCATGCGGTTAGAATTGAAGCATTGATTTTAAAGAAAAATAGCTCATTAAATGCCGTAGCTGCAATTCGTTTTTTATACCAAGACTACTAAGTTTTTTTTTTTGAAATCTGTACTGCGATACATTTATGCGAGTTTGACCGACCTGTAATTGACTCTGTACTTGCTGCAACTGTTGATTAAGCGTGCCAGCGGCTAACGTTTGTCGTAGCACACTGTTCAACGGGTTATCTTCACCGGCTGATTGGCTCGCTACTGAAATTATTAACATTTAAGTTTAGCAGTATATTAAGCCTATGGGCTCTTAACCCAGTGAGGCAGACCTTCAAAGTTAAATCCCTTATTTTTTTTCATGCATGAAAAGAACGAGGAGCATTTTCACGCCGAATTTTAGACTTGATGAAGCAATGCACATTATACGGCAGGAACTTCTGGGTTTTCCCAAAATTTTTTGCTCGCAGTCATGAGGAATCTATCAGCGCAGAGATTTTCAACACGATTTTGTTATGTATCTAAGTGGCAGATAATTACTGGGTTTTATTGCTATTAAACTTTTGGTTATTATTATTTTTTATAGAAACTTTTTTGAGAAGGTTGAACAGCAAATTTGAAAAAATAAACAGGGAATTTTAT